CAGCCACCGGTGAAATCACCCCTAGGTGAGGACACTCAGCAAGAGAAGGTGGCCCGCCCTGAAGCCACCTGAATAGGCAAAAGGGAGTTAAATATCTGCAGAGGAATTTGGCACAAAACGTGTGGCATATTGTATGACCTGTTTATAGAGATCGTCCTGGAAAAATAAAAAAAGGTTGAGGACTCAGGAGGGTGTAAGCAATGACTAACCTAGTTAGCTAATTACAGGAGTTACACAAAACGGCTGCAGGGTAAAGTCCATTCAGGGGTTACTCAAGACTAACCCCACCCCCAACAGGTACTGTGGAGGCCCGCAGCCGAGCTGGGCCCGAGTCCCTTCCTCCACATGCACACCCTTCCTGGCTGCACACCCAGCTGCCATGCCATCTCGGGTCGCTGATACATCTGTTGGCTTGTGCCCCGGCTAACAGCCATGACTGAGCTTCCCAGTGTGTGATGACGGCAGTTCTCACCCGGAGCAGCACAGAAGGGCGGCCTGCTGGCTCTACAGCCCCTTCCTCTACAGCCCTCTTGGACCCCGATCCTCCTACAGACCCTCCCCTTCCCTTCCCCAGTAACCCTGACTCCCACCCAGGAGTTGCCAACCAATGCACCGGCTGAAAGTGGAGGCCACTTGGAAGGCTAAACTTTGTGGCTGTATCAAATGTCCTCCCTGAGACAGCCCCAAAACAATGCAATTTCCTTTCTCAGCCATCGCCCCAATAAAGAAACACCGCTGCGGATGCATCTAGCCATGGCCAGCTGGAACGGCATTCTGGGCACCTTGGTCTGCCTTTGTAAACAGCATGTGCACACCCAGGGCTCACTGCACACGCTTGCACACGCCACACTCATGTACACCGCTGAGAGAGGGTGGGCATGAGGAGGGCCCTGGAGCCTGAGGGTCACAGAATGCTCGAGACTGCATTCTCCTCTAGGATCTTGTCCTTTGGCAAAATGAAACTCAGAGGGTCAGAGTTTCAGAGGGTCAGGAAATGACAAAGCCAAACCTCAAGCTCTCATGTTCTGGCCACAAAAGGAAATGCAGGCACAGCCAGCTGCCTAGAAAAGGGGAAAAGAGGGCTACCGTGCTTCTTGGATTGCTGCCCGATTTTTCTCTTTGACCATCACTAGCCATTGAAGAGGCCCTAATAACCAGGCCCCTTTGTACTTACCTGGAATATTGGAGGGCTCACTTCCACACATTTATTGAGGGTCTACTATGTGCTATGCACTGTACTAGAAACTGAATTGTGCCAAAACAGTTCCTGCTCTCTGGGTGTTTATATCTGGCAAGTGAGAGCAGCAGAAAAACAAATGATGGCAATAGAGTAACAGGGAAAATAAGAGAAGACATACATATGTCAAAAAAGTACAACTGGGCCAGGTGCAGTGGCTCATGCCTGTCATCCCAGCACTTTGGGAGGCCGAGGCAGGCAAATCAGACCTGCCTCCTCAAGGTCAGTAGATGGAGACCATTTTGGCCAACATGGTGAAACCCCGTCTCTACTAAAATTACAAAATTAGCCGGGTGTGGTGTGATGCACCTGTAGTTCCAGCTACTTGGGAGGCTGAGGCAGGAAAATCGCTTGAACCCAAGAGGTGGAGGCTGCAGTGAGCCAAGATCACATCACTGCACTCCAGCCTGGGCAACAGTCTTAAAACTAAAAAATAAAAAAGGTGCCACTGTGTCTCTCTTAGGGAGGAAGTTGGGGAAGCTTTGCAGCCATAGTGACATCAGGTGAGGATTTTGCAGGAACTGTCAGGCAGGTGAGAAATGGCGTTATCCCTGGCCGAGGGAACCATGCAGGTGGAACTCAACGATAGAATGTGGCAGCCAAGAGGAGTCAAGAATGACATCCAGGCCGGGCGCAGTGGCTCATACCTATAATCCCAGCATTTTGGGAGGCCGAGGCGGGTGGATCACCTGAGGTCAGGAATTCCAGACCAGCCTGGCCAACATGGTGAAACCTCATCTCTATTAAAAATACAAAAAGGTGGCCGGGCACAGTGACTCACGCCTGTAATCCCAGCAGTTTCAGAGGCCAAAGTGGGCAGATCACCTGAGATCAGGAGTTCAAGACTAGCCTGACCAACATGGAGAAACCCCATCTCTACTAAAAATACAAAACTAGCCAGGCATGGTGGCACATGCCTGTAATCCCAGCTATTCAGGAGGCTGAGGCAGGAGAATCGCTTGAGCCCAGGAGGCAGAGGTTGTGTTGAGCCAAGATCACGCCGTTGCACTCCAGCCTGGGCAACAAAAGCGAAACTCCATCTCAAAAACAAAACAAAAAAACAAAAACAAAAAAATAGCCAGGTGTTGTGGTGGGCGCCTGTAATCCCAGCTACTCAGAAGGCTGAGGCAGGAGAATCACTTGAACCGGGGAGGCAGAGGTTGCTGTGAGCCGAGATCGTGCCATCGCACTCCAGCCTGGGCGACAAGAACGAAACTCTGTCTCAAAAAGAAAAGAAAAAAGGAAAAAAAAGAATGACCTCCAGGTGTTTTGTCTTGGACAAGTGGGCTAATCATAGCACCCTTATCCCACATGAGAAATACTGAAGGACAGGCAGACATATAGAGTAAGATGGTGAGTTATTCCCCGCCATCTTGATTTTGAGTTATCTGTAGGACAGTCAGGTGTAGGATCAATGTGCACCTGGACAAGTGAGTGTGGAAAAGAGTGTAGAGGAAAGAGGCCAGGTAAGTAACCTCAGCAAGAGCATGGTAGACTATGGCGTAGATGGGGTAAGGAGATGAAGATGGAGCATGTAGGCCACTCCTAAGCTGGTGCAGTTAAATAAGAAGGAGGAGAGCAAGAGTCCTGCAGGCTCACGGAATACAGCCATCAAGTTTCTAGCACAAGGAAGGGATGGGTGATCCTCCGTTGATGTGAGGCTAAGGGTGCACATGGACAGGCCAGCCTCAAATCGGAAGAGGGGCTACTCTCAGCTCCTGGAGAGAAGAGAAAGACAAGCAGGAGAGGAGGTAATGAGGGAAGTAGGGACAAAGGGGGACAAGAAGTTGAGAACTGGGTTTTGTCCTCCCTTATGAAAATAGGCTTAATGAAAATTGCCTAGGTCATTTGGTTGTTTTTTAAATGACCAGGTAAAGTCTTTGTTTTGTTTTGTTTTGTTTTCTGGCCTGGTGCAGTAGCTCACACCTGTAATCCAAGCATTTTGAGAGGTTGATGCGGGTGGATCACTTGAGGTCAGGAGTTTGAGGCCAGCCTGGCTAACATGGTAAAACCCAGTTATCTACTAAAACTACAAAAAAAAATTAACATGGGATGGTAGTGCATGCCTGTAATTCCAGCTACTTAGGAGGCTGAGGCAGGAGAATCGCTTGAACTTGGGAGGTGGAGGTTGCAGTGAACCCAGATCACACCACTGCACTCCAGCCTGGGTGACAGAGTTTTTTCATCTCAAAAAAAAAATATTTTTTCTTTCTTTCTTTGAGACAGCGTCTGTGGCCCAGGCTGGAATGCAGTGGTGCGATCATAGCTCACTGCAGCCTCAAATTCCCAGGCTCAAGTAATCCTCCCACCTCAGCCTCCCAAGTAGCTGGGACTACAGGTGCGTACCACCACACCGAGCTAAGGTAAAAGCATCTTTACAGAAATAAACTAATTCTAAGTGTACTCTAATTATACCTCTCCATGTGATACATACATTTATTAATGATACAGCAAATGCCTTGGGGAGAAAAGATTCCCAGGATCTGGCAACACTGAATTATTTCACTGAGATTCCTCGAAACCACGAAAAAATAAGTTTCAGCTGATAAATACATGAAATGTCAAACACTGTGAAGACTTTGACTATCCCTACTTAGAATAATCAAAATCAACCGGGCGCAGTGGCTCATGCCTATAATCCCAACACTGTAGGAGGCCAAGATGGGCGGATCATGAGGTCAAGAGATCGAGAATATCGTGGCCAACATGGTGAAACCCCATTTCTACTACTAATACATACAAAAATACAAAAATTAGCCAGGCATGGTGGCATGTAGTCCCAGCTAGCTACTTGGGAGGCTGAGGCAGGAGAATCACTTGAACACAGGGGGCAGAGGTTGCAATGAGCCAAGATCATGCCACTGCACTCCAGCCTGGGTAGCTGAGCAAGACTCCGTCTCAAAAAAAAAAAAAAGAAGAAGAAGAAGAATCAAAATCTGTGAAAACATAACATAGATAGCTGCTCATCTGATTAAAAGGCTCTCTGAAGTTCTCATGTCCTATTCTTACAAACTCAAGAACCTGACACAAACTTCAACCTCCAAATAGAGAAGCAGCTCCACTGTACAGAGCCAAGTAAAAATGCCTTTGGTGGCTGGGCACAGCAGCTCACACCTGCAATCCCAGCACTTTGGGAAGCCAAGGGGGGAGGATCACTTGAGGCCAGGAGTTCAAGACCAGCCTGGGCAACATAGTGAGACTATCTCTACAAAAAAATGAAAAAGTGAAAAAAAATTGCCTTTGGAGACAGAAGTTTGAGAGCATTTTGAAGACTTTTATGTGCCGAGAAATTTCAAGCTTGAAAGATCAAAAGGCAAGAAGAAATAAATATATCTGGTATTTTGAAGGATCAAGGGATCAAACTGCTCATTTGACCAACTGGAGACTTACAAGAGCATTGGAATGTGGGTCGGATCCAATGTGGATAGAATTCAGCTCTGGGCTTTTAAACCCATTACCCACTGGGAACAGGATTCTGAAGGAAAATGGCAGGTGTGTGAATAGGTGTAGGGTCCACATGATAGGCCCTGTCTGGCAAACGCCCACTGGCATGCTACACCAAATGGAGAAAACAGACATGGGTTCCCTGTCTCATGGATCCCCCGAGTTTACACTGCAGGGCACATTGCAAAGGAATGAGAGCACCCACCACAAAGGGAATACCAGAGCTTGGGCCAGAGGGCAACACAGTAGCCCTCCCACTGCTTATGAAGGCCTGGGGCAAGAGAGAGGGCTAGAAGGAAGGAGGGGACAAGCATGTCCCCTGGTACCGATGACAGACTCGTCAGCCAGAGCCAAACCAAGCCCCTCAGTGAGTCACACAAACCGTGGAGTTTGAACTGAACATCTACAAGGAGCACGGAGGCTGTGCTTCTCCAGAGTCCCGCTTGCTGTGCCGGGAGCATTCCCGTGGTGCTGTCAGGGTGCCTGGGTGGGGCTTCACTCTGGGTTCCAGAAGCTACTGCTCAAATGCCACGTCCTCTCATCAGGACAACCGAAAGCTGGGGAGAGGAAAGGGAAGACTCCAGGGAACGTGACTCTGACTTCCCAGAAAGATGAAGCCACGGATGCCACCGCACCTGGCTGGGAGCCAAAAGGCATGACGTGGTGTGGGAGCGAATTACAGAAACTCTCGGGCAGGAGCTGAGGGCTTGCGTGTCCAAATGAGATACAGCCTCCTCTTCCTGATCCCGTTCTTTTCCTCTTCGAAAGGCGCTTTGTGCATTTTAAATTCAAAGGAAGGGTTTGGACAAAAGGGAGGCTGTTCCATCCAGAAAGCACGTACTTGTCAGGACAAGCCGTCTGCCAGGGCATCTGGCGGGGAAGGGTTGGGGGCCACGGGCTTACTTACCCGAAGTCCTCGGGCAGTGGCAGGGGCCCAGAGCACCTCCCCGCTGTGAATCAGAAGAAGGGCATTCCTCCACTGTTACCAGCTCCTCCATCTTCACCAAAACAAGCCGTGCCTTTCCCTTTCCCACGTTCCCGGGTCGAGAAGCAGGTGTGGTCCTTTGCAGCAAGTTGACATCAACGAAAAACACATTCCTTGGCCCTTCGATTCCTATTGACACATGCAGTTTCTGAGGCTGAGTTACACCTGACCTCTGGGTCAGTCCCTGTTTACTCATCCGCACAACCCACTCATGTATCAGATAATGACCCAGCCCTTGGATGTGACTCCTGCTCGGCCCCAGGAGGAGTGGGCAGGGTGTCAGGGAGACCTCCCTCCAGGGGCTCACGGGCTGCCCCGCACTGGTGATGGTACCCAGGAGGGCCTTTGCATGGTATCTATTCATGTAAAACATGCCCCTTCTGACCCCCGCTTCCTCTTCATTTACTTCCTTGCATTTATTCATTCATTCACAGGATAGATATTGGGTTCCCCTGGTGCCAGGCTCCACAGAAAGTCTTCAGGGGAGCCAGGTCCAGTGGCTCACACATGTAATCCCAGGGACACTAGAGGCTGAGGCAGAAGGATCCCTTGAGCCCAGGAGTTCAAGACCAACCTGGGTGATATAGTGAGACCCCATGTCTACAAAAAAAAAAGAAAAAAATGAGACAGGGTCTTACTCTGTTGCCAGGCTAGAATGCAGTGGTACGATCTCAGCTCATTGCAGACTCAATCTCCTGGGCTCAAATGATCCTCCCACCTCAGCCTCCACAGTGGCTGGCACTGCAGGTTCACACGATGACACCCAGCTAATTTTTGTATTAAAACAATTTTTTTAAATTAGCCAAGCATGGCGATGCACACCTGTAGTCTTTAGTTACTCAGGAGGCCGAAGCAGGGGGATCACTTAAGTCCAGAAGTTTGAGGCTGCAGTGAGCTATGACTGTGCCACTGCACTCCAGCCTGAATGACAGAGCAAGACTCCGACACTAAAATAAATAAATAAATCAGAAAAGAAAAGTGTGGAGGATGTAATAGTGAACCAAACCTGGCATGATTCCATCTCCCACATGACTTACCTTTGAGTAAGAGAAGACATCAGAAGCAAGCAAGCAAGCAAATAAATAGGCCAGATAGTTTCTGTGAATAGGAAGGGCTTCGGAGCACATCGAGACTAGGGGAGGGGCTAACTTAGTCCTCTCTGAGGAAGGGACACATCCTGAGGGATGAAGGGCAAGCACATTTCAGGCCCGGGCCCCTGAGGAGGGGAGCCCAAAAGGAAGCCGTGATGGGGGTTCGAACCGCCAGTGTGAAATGGAAGCCTCAGCCAGACGAGGCGTGTCCTCGCTCATCAGACACAAGCATGCTCTGGCCCAGAGCAGGATGGCCTCAGGCCTGGCCTCCACCCATGGGGCTTCCTCCTCTGAGGCAGAGAACTTTGAAAAGAAGTCAGCCACGTGGTTGCTTCTCACTCTCTCAGAAAAGCAGCAAATGTGGCTTGTGACACCAGGGAGAGAGGCCGTCTCGGTGAGGACACTCTGGTGGCTCACGATTGGCCTGATTTCCTCAGGTGACAGGAGAGGGTCAGAGGCCACTGATCCTCCAGTCACTGTCCTCCGGAGACCCTAGCCAGTATCAGTGGCCAGTCAGCTCCTGCCAGCGCCTCCTGGAAACTGCACCATTGCCCCACTCTTGGGCAAAACTCTTTTTCTCAGAAGGGGCTGATGCATGCACAGCCAGGGCCCTGGGTCTGGCTGCCCAGCTCATCTTCGCTTCCAGAAACTTTCCTTCTCCCTGCTGCATGGGACCGGCGCCAGGCCACATCGTGGCTTGGCTTGGGGGCAGCGTGCCTCCCTCCTGAATGTCGCAGCTCCGTGTGCTTCCCAAGGTGACGAATGACCTTGATTCATATTGGTGAAGTAATGGCCTTCCTCCTCAACCTTCTCATCCATTAGTCACGTTGCAACACGGCCCTGCATGGCACAGAATGCATTCCCAGGAGCCAGCTCAGGGCATTGCAAACACCTCCCAGGCTCGGCTTACCAAACTCACAGTCACACAATCAGCCCAGGTGCCCGGAACTGCCTTGGCCCGCTGCCACCAAAGTCCCCACAGCAGGGACTTGGGAAAGCGTGAGAGCAGAGGCCAAGGACTGGGGCTCAGGTCCAGGTCTCCCCTTGCTCTGTAACTTTGGGCAAATGACTTAACCTCTGTTGGCTTCTGCATCTATACACCGCCATTAAGGCCGTGAGCACTGGGGAAAAGCAAATGAGAAAGTAACTGCGGAAACACTTTGTAAGCTGTTATAAAGCACCAGAAAATGACAGTGGTTCAGTCCCACGGAAAAATTGATCACGTTGGGTGACCGCTGGGTCATTACCCAAGGAGTTTGTTTGTTTGCGTGTTTGTTTGTTTGTTGAGACAGGGTCTTGGTCTGTCACCCAGGCTGGAGTGCAGTGGCACAATCACGGTTCACTGAAGCCTCAGCCTTCTGGGCTCAGGTGATCCTCCCACCTCAGCCTCCTGAGTAGCTGCAACTGCAGGTGCATACCACCACACCTAGCTAATAACATTATTTTTGCACTTAATCTTAGCCAAAAGGCTGAGAAGTTATATAATTTTATCTTTTGTAGAGATGAGGTCTTATTGCACTGCCCAGGCTGGTCTCAAACTGCTGGGCTCAAGGGATCCTTCTGCCTCAGCCCTCCAAAGTGCTGGGATTACAGGCATGAGTCACCACGCCCAGACACCTAAAGATGGCTCATTTCTATGAGGAATAGAAATGATGTCCCTGAATCCATTTCTGGGACATGGAAAGACAAGCTCATAACACAGTGTTTTTAGTACAGGCTGAGTATGCTCCTCATTTAAATGCCTAGGGGGCTAGGCACAGTGGCTCATGCCTGCAATCCCAGCAATTTGGGAGGCCCAGGTGGGAGAATCACTTGAGGTCAGGAGTTCAAGACCAGCCTGGGCAACATGGCAAAACCCTGTCTCTACTAAAAATACAAAATTTCACTGGGCGTAGTGATGCATATCTGTAATCCCAGCTCCTCAGGTGGTTGAGGCACAAGAATCACTTGAACCCAGGAGGTGGGGGTTGCAGTGAGCTGAGATCGCGCCACTGCACTCCAGCCTGGGTGACGGTGCAAGACTCCATCTCAAAAAATAAATAAATAGCTTGGGAATCACAGTGTCTTGGAGTTTGCATTTTTTTGGATTTTGGAATATTTGCCTAATGTACCTATCAGTTGATCATCCCAAATTCAAAAATCCAAAATCCGTAATGCTCCAGTGAACATTTCCTTTGAGCATCAGGCTGATGCTCAAAAAGTTTCAAATTGTGGAGGATTTTGGGTTTTTGGTTTGGAACGCTTAACCTATATATCAGTAAGTAAACTTCCTGTGTAAAATCTAAGAAACAAACCCCATGCCACATTGTAAAGCATTGTAATACGATGCCAAGAAGTGTCCATAGGTGTATGTATAGTACGTCCTCTGCCCCAAAATCATTGCTTGGAGACTTGGGATTGGAACCTACATTGCATTAATGGCTGCTATTTGAGCCTGCGAGGAGATACAGTAGGTGGATTCAACAATGGGCTCAGACCCCTGTAGTCCCAGCTACTCGGGAGACTGAGGCAGGAGAATCGCTTGAATCCAGGAGGCGGAGGTTGCGGTGAGATGAGATCGCGCTACTGCACTCCAGCCTGGGTGACAAAGCAAGCCTCTGTCTTTTAAAAAAAACAGAAAACAAAACAAAACAAAACAAAACAAAAAAACGGTGGGCTCAGGCCACTATCACTGATGCAAGTAATCTTGTAGCTTCCAATGTATATACTTAAGGAAGAATTAGCGAGTTTTCGAAAACTGCATGCCAAGTTAGTGGCCAAAAAGAATCCCTGCCCTCCTGCCTAGTGGAACTGCCTTTGATGGACAGCTCTTGCTGCTCACATGGGCCCATCCTTTTCTGTCTTTCTCTCTGGTTTTTTTTTTTTTTTTTTGAGATAGAGTCTCACTCTGTCGCCCAGGCTAGAGTGCAATGGCACGATCTCGGCTCACTGCAACCTCCACCTCCCGGGTTCAAGTGATTCTCCTGCCTCAGCCTCCCGAACAGCTGGGATTATAGGCACCCGCCACCATGCCTGGCTAATTTTTGTATTTTTCATAGAGATGGGTTTCACAAAGTTGGCCAGGCTGGTCTCGAACTCCTGACCTCATGATCTGCCCACCTTGTCCTCCCAAAGTGTTGGGACTACAGGCATGAGCCATCGCACCCAGCCAATTGCTAAATTTTTACCATTCCATTTTATCAAACAAAAGAGAGGCAAGACTTGGATCTCTCTTCATCCACAGGTCGTTAAGATCAGGCTAATAATGGACAGGTGCAGTGGCTCACGCCTGGGTGACAAGAGGGAGACTCTGTCTCAAAAAATATATATATATGTGTGTGTGTGTGTGTGTGTGTGTGTGTGTGTGTGTGTATATATATATATCAGGCTAATAATGATGCTTAAGGGCAAATTACCAAGGATCTGGATGTGAATGGCAGGGGGCTGGGGGCTGGATAGGAAGGGACAGCAGGCCAGTTGGCAGGAGGGTGTTCACTGCCCTCCATGCACCAACCCTGGCTGGTCTCCTTTCCTTGATGGCGAAGCACCATTAGCAGGCCTCCTCTAGCTCTAGAAGCAGGAGTCTTGTCCTTGAAAATCATAGAGTTTAGGCTGGGCACGATGGCTTACACCTGTAATCCTAGCAGTTTGGGAGGCCAAGGTGGGTGGATTACCTGAGGTCAGGAGTTCAAGACCAGCCTGGCCAACATGGTGAAATCCCGTCTCTACTAGAAATACAAAAATTAGCCAGACGTGGTGGCTCGTGCCTGTAGTCTCAACTACTTGGGAGGCTGAGACACAAGAATCCCTGGAACCCAGGAGGTGGAGGCTGCAGTGAGCAAAGATCGCGCCACGGCACTCCAGCCTGGGCGACAGAATGAGACTCCATCTCAAACAAAAGAAAATCATGGAGTTTGAGCCCTGGGAGGCTTGGGCGAATTCAAAACCAAGCACAGGCCTGGCGTGTTGGCTCATGCCTGTAACCCCAGCACTTTGGGAGGCTGAGGTGGGTGGATCACTTGAGGTCAGGAGTTCAAGACCAGCCTGGCCAACATGGTGAGATCCCTTCTCTACCGAAAATACAAAAACCTAGCCAGGCATGGTGGTGCATGCCTGTAATACCAGCTACTCAGGAGGCTGAGGCAGGAGAATTGCTTGAACCTGGGAGGCAGAGATTGCAGTGAGTCGAGATCCTGCCACTACATTACAGCCTGGGTGACAGAGAGAGACTGTCTAAACAAAACAAAACAAAACAAAGAGTGCAGTTCATTCCTCTCCCTTTCTTCTCCACGATCTGAGAGGGAGAGTTGAAGAAACGCAGATGCCCAGGCTCCACTCACAGCCACTTAGAAGCAGGTCTTTCAAAACTGCCATCCCTAAGACCACCCTCTTCACTCCCCTCTACACATGGTCTTCCCCAGCCTTCCCCATCACAATCGAGAGCTCCGTCTTCCACCTCCAGCAAACACCTGGAGACTGTCCTTAACTCATTCCTCCATCATGTTCCACATCCAATCCATAAGAAAAGAATGTCAGCACCACCTTCCCAAGAAATTCTGAATTACGTATCACCTCCCCTAGCATCCAGAGTCACACACGGCCCCACAACCAACAAGGTCCTCCTTACAGGACCACACCCCTGCTCACCGCCCTCACATGGTCTCTTGCCACCATCCAAGAGCAGCGTCCTCCTCCAAGCTTTGGACAGGCCACCCTCATTCCCCTCTCAGGGCTTTTGCCCCAGTTGTTTCCTGCCCTGGAATGCTGGTCCCCTAGTCTGGCTCCTTCTTCCCTTTGTGGAATTGCTCGTGCAGACGCCGTCTCTGATTCGCTATCTAAAATTTTTGCTCAGCCAGGCATAGTGGTTCATATCTGTAATCCCAGCACTTTGGGAGGCTCAGGTGGGAGGATCCTTTGAGCCCAGGAGTTCAAGACCAGCCTGGGCAACACGGCAAAACCCCATCTCTACAAAAATATTTTTTAAAATTAGCCAGGCATGGTGGTGCACACCTGCAGTCCCAGCTACTCAGGAAGCTGAGGCGGGAGGATCACTTGAGCCCAGGAGTCTGAGGCTGCAGTGAGCTATGATCACACCACTACACTCCAGCCTGGGAGACAGAGTGAGACCCTGTCTCAAAAAATAAAATATCCAGGAGCAGTAGTTCACACATGTAATCCTAGCACTTTGGGAGACCAATGGGGGTGGGTCACCTGAGGTCAGGAGTTCAAGACCAGCCAGAGCAACATGGTGAAACCCCATCTCTACTAAAAATCCACTAAAGATACAATAATTAGCTGGGCATGGTGGCGGGCGCCTGTAATCCCAGCTACTCAGGAGGCTGAGGCAGAAGAAGTGCTGAACCCGGGAGGCGGAGCTTGCAGTGAGC